TCCTGGATCAGTAATGTTGGGAGTCAGTCTGATTGATATTCCAAAAACAGGCAATGCTGAGATAAAAAACCATGCAACTGCCATTGCGGAATAGGAGCAAATAATAATTATACGTGCAGTCTGCGCTCTTCGAATCATTATACTTCTCTCTTGATCACTTTTTAATTTCATCCAATCTTTTGCGATCATATTTATAATTGGTATAATTGCTTAAAAGTAAACAATTGTACAATTGAACTATTTTACCACACTGAATGAAACTATGTTAAGTTTAATTTTAAATAGTAAAAAAAATAAAAATAAAAAAAGATCGAAATAACTTTACTATTTTTAAATACTTTCAAGAAAAATTATTTTACTATTTGAAGTCAGTAGAAATATTAATTTTGTAATTCACAAATCTTATTGCACACATTATCTTATTTTTGTTATTTATCATTAAAATTAAAATTAAAGTAATAATTTTATATGTAATTTCTATAGCTTTGCACAATAATACTTTTATATACAATTGTATATATGTATAATTAGTGAAATTATTATATAAAACAAATTTTGACAAACAGATTATATGCTTGTAATGCATCTAATTAATTATTCATATACATAATTTTTGAGATTGGAAATATATTTAAAATAAATTTAAAATACTTATAAATTATTTATCAAACATATTGACGTAGTGCACGTACGAAAAAATATTTTCATGTCATTAATAGTAAGTTGATTTTACTAAGTGAATTGAACAATCTGCATATATGTATTTAAAGCCATTAATATATTAATCTAAACAATCAACTTGTATGTAACTTGTAATTATTATTTATCACATTTTTACAGTTTATATATATAACAAAAAATGATGTATACCTTCTTTTTTCCACCAAAAAATTACGATTCGAATCAAGCTGCTTATGAGCGGTAAAGTATATTGTAAATTATCTAACATTAGTATACTGTCTCCGAAAATTTTTATCAGGGAATGTATAGCAGGAATAAAAAGAGTGATTAATCCCAGAAAAGTTACCAATGTTCGAAAATTGCACATTAACTTCTGCCAAGGATTTTGTATGTTTATAGGCCAAAGTCCAATAAAATTTAAAGTGAAACGATTTAGTTCCACCGCCCATTCAAAATCTATCTGCAGAAACCTTCATAAGTTCAGAGCTATTAATAACAAGAATGTATAATACACAATTTTAAACACAAGTATATATATCTATTATGAATCCGAACGGACTGCATGAAATAATTTAAAATAAAATATTTTTGAACACTCTACGTTGGATTAATCGTGCAATTATTTGTTAAATAATGAATAATGTACAATAAAAATTAAGTTCAAGTTATTGTAATTAAATGTAACTAATATTGTTATAATAGTTTGATATGTATATAAGAAGCACAGATTCACTGCAAAAGGCGATAACCCAAATAACTGAAAAAATCCAGAAATCCTTAATTTTTGGTTAACAAAAGAAGATATATTTTAATATTGTAGAATAAATGATACCACTATTTGCACATATTGTAAAGTAAAAGACCTTTTTAATTTTCTTTTACATATAATTACAATAATCAAAATCATAAACACCTTGGTGTCTGTCATATTTCGAACTTTCCATATTCAATGTTGTCTAAAGACTGACGGCTGTTCTCTTTTCATGAATCGATGATGGTTCCTGTACAGTAAAAAGCATTTTTTACGCATGCCTGTAATACTCTTGAAAGTCTCGAACGATCAACTTGCTACAAAGTTCTTTTAAATATTCTGTTTCCATCTTTTTCCCATTTCCATCAAGTTTCCTGCACCGATCGTCACGCGAAACATGTGCGAATAAAAAATTACATAGGGTTTATTGAAAACAGCACGTGTAAGTACATCGGTTATTTTCCCACGCTTCTATAGACCTCACTTGCTTACAACAATATTTAGTAACCGACAATAAAGAAGTTATTTTGTATCACTCCTATGAACTTCATTTTTTTAAATAAATTTTTGAAATAAAATTTTGAAAATTTGTACATATATTGTTCATTTTTATATGAAAATTTTTAAAATAAATGCAATACACGCAATAATTAGTATATGAAGTTATTCAAATAACAAGCAGTTAATGATATTATAAATTAGTATTTTTATAAAATGTTTATTGGATATTTTCTATAGCAGTAGTATGTACTTACAAAGTAAGAAGAATAGGCTTAAAAATAAAATTTTTCTTTCGTCGACCAATTTTTATTGCTTACTACTTAAAAATTATTATATTATTGACATTAAAATATGTGTAAATTGGAATTTTCTATTTCAACTGATGATGGGATTTAAAATATAGTGTTAAAGTACCGTATAAAAGTTGTGCGACATTCTTTATATTTTTTAAAAACAAAATAAACAAAAATTTTAATTTATATTAAAAAAATTCTAATTCTATTTAATCTTAAATAGGGGTAACTTCGATATTTTAATGAGCCACCGCCTGAAATAAAATTACGGAGAACATAATAATTTGTCATAAAAACTAAACAATCTTAGTTTAACGTATATTTTATTAAGTGTATTGCCTTTGAAACATTTTAATTTGTTATTTAAAATTAATTATACAATAAATTTATTATATATTATTGTATAAAATGTTAAATAATAAAATTAATGTTTTAATTGAATAGTCTGCCCTTATCGTGAAAGAATAAATAACAGTTCTCTTAAATAATAATTAAATTTCTAATTTCAAATTTCACTATCTAAAAGAACGTATTTCACAATATATTCCATTTAACTAATACAATAAAGTTTATTTACTTGCAAATAACATAATAATACTGGAACAATTTTTAATTTAAACTCTTGCACCTAATAAAAATTGAATAATATCGATGAAAAGCATCTATTCCTTCTATCAATTTTTCATGGTGTGCAAAACGGACATATAACCAACAGATGTTTTTACTAACTGAAAATATATTTCTTAATGGTTATAGAGTTAATAGGACAGTATCGATAGATACATAATTATAAAATATAAGATGATATATAAACACAATAAGATAAAGAATTCGATTTTTATATATTAAAATATAGGGGTTAAAATAATTTTTAACGAAATTTCAATGACACCATTATTTTAATATAATTGTCAAAGTCAAATATTAAAATATCTTACGCTGCAAAATGTGGCCATTGTAACAGGAGACACTTTCCCAACAGTAAGATAGATTGGTTTAGAACCTCTTGTCATTAAAAAGAACAAACTTTTTACAATTTTTGAATTTAGAGTGTACCATTTGTTGAGATATGCCGCATAATATATTTGATTGCACTTGAAAATATCAAAAATATTTTTAGATTAATATAATTATTGTACACCTTGTTTATACATTTAAATAAAAATTAATTATTATTATATAGTAGTCTATAAAATTAATTAAGCAATATTTAATTTACACAGAAAATAATAAATAATGTTAAAATTATAAAAGAATTTAATTATAAATTTATTTACATGTGTATACATCTAACCTGAGTCATTAATATTTCACCGAGAACGCAATATAGGCACATATTTACAAATATGTTGAAAACGAGGGACACAAAAAAAATTAAGTGAGTGAATGACATATCATTTCCTTCATCAAATAGCTATAATTAATTTATGGAATAATTAAAAAAACATAATTTTTAAATAACATTAATTTATAATTGTTATATTATACCGTGTAAATATAGTAATATTTTATTACAAGTTGTTATATTACAAAATGTTAAATACTTACACTAATTATCTGAAATCCATAAAATGCGAGAAGAATCGTAAAACATATAAATAAGGAGAGCAATATTAGATTAAATGAATCTTCAATAACATGAATAGCTCTATAACAGATATTTAATATACTATAAATACATTTTACCACACACAAATATTTATATAAATTTTATTTTGTACATATTCTCTTATAAGTAACAAACCTGAGCAAACGGATATGTTTTGCTATGCAACATTTCAGCACTTCGTCATAATTTACATATTTATCTAAATGTGCCAAACGATTCTCGAGAATGTCTAATTGGCCGCATATATGAAAAACCAATAGACTAAGAAAATTATCTATTCCAGTGTAGGTCAACACGGCAATTGCTCCGAAAATAACTTGACCAATATATGTCAGTTCATATTGCGGACTTTTTGTTATGTCATAAATGTAATGGGTTTGTACAATCATTGGTTTTCCTGGATCAGTAATGTTGGGAGTCAGTCTCATTGATATTTCAAAAGGCGGTAGTACTGCGATGAAAAAATACGAAAATCCTATTATGGAGTAAGAGATCGGAAGAGCACACGTC